ACACTGTTATGGAATCAGCTTTCAAAAGAATAACGCTTCAAATTCAATAATTAGTGCACGTTTGAGTAGTTCGAATTCCTTCATAAGTCACCTAGTGTAACATGTTCGTACCCATGAAAAATATAACTTGAATGTGAAAATGTTTACAAAATAAGGCTGGAAACACAAAAACAAACAAAGCACTCTAGCATTTGAATATCTTATACTTCTAATGAAGAAGCATGCTATTACAATGAGCTAATCGTACACCATCTACAGAAAATGTTTCATTATCTGATCTGCAACTGCAACATTTCACTGCATCAGGTAGCATCAACGTTCATGTACAGTTAACAATCTGTCTCTATACTCTTGATGGAGGATATTCAGACTCATGACGTCTTCATCTTTAGTTTCTTAGCAAGTGTTAGTGGGACATAGATGGAATTAAAGCACGACTACGTTGCTGCGTGCTGATTGGCTAATTTCCTATCCAATCAGCGCCTGATCGAAGCTTGGAGAACAGGATAGAAAATTCTCGTATTATTAGCTGCATGCTGATTGGTCAAATCCAGTCCAGTCGATCACGTGAATTTTCTTCCAGAAGTTTTCTCATGTAAAGGCTATAAATAGACTAGCATTGTATTTATCTTTGCCTTCTAGCCTTCTTTGCCTTCAAGCCTTCTTGCTTTCTTTGCCTTGGCTTTCGCCATCACCTCCGGCTTCTTTTCCTTGCTATTTTGGAATACAATCCTTCCTGTTCAACCGTGTTCTGATTTGGGTTACTTGTCCAGTGTTTTGTGTCAAGAATACTAAGCAATAAGATTTAGCCGGGAAATATCTTAAGCAACCGTTACAACAGTAAGAACTTCTCTGTTAACATGTTAAGCAGATCTCACACAATGATCATCAATATAATTTTTACGAATGACGGCAGACATATGATTTTTATAATAGTTTGAGAAATTTATCGATTATTGCGATTGTATAACGTTGAAAGTAAATCTACTAAGAAAAGTATTCAACACTGAGCAAAACTTTCATAAAGTTATTGATCGTAAGATATATTCCATATACTCAAATATGTTGCTCTGGTTCTCTTATTTTGTGTAAAACTCTTGTTTCACAACACAGTGGAATTGTTAGTGTAGCAATCTACTGCTCAAATATGATAATAGTTCACTGAATTTTACATGAATGAACTTGGAGAAAGTGATTTTCAAATGATATTTGATCAGTATGCATAACTTACTTCAGCGAATGCTTCGAAAAATGATTTCTTTTCTTTCAAACTATCATTACCATTCCTCATGACGTGTTTCTCGTATGCCTACAAAGTATATCAGGCAATGAACAATTAAGAATAATTTATCAAAATGGTTGTTTTACTACGGCATCTAGTTTTGAATCAGCCTAAACTGAAACAATTTTATTAGGTTGGATGTGATTTTACTGTTGTAATGACAGAAAAATAAATTTTGTGGTTCAAATTCCTAAATTTTTAAAATTCATATAAAGAATTATGTTTGGCAGTAACACAGAAATCAATCTTTCAATAAAAATAACCCTTGAACCAAATTACAATGTACGTTGCAGTTTTTTAGTACTTGCAATCATGTCGAATATTGATTGGAAGATTCTATTGAACTGTGTATGTCTTGCGCATGTATGAAAAAGGACTGTCCATTAGTCAACAAGTGTTGCTACGCACGTTTGAATTGATGATTTCAAACAAATTATGCATTTTACAGAAATTGGTCATGCCAGTCAATCTTAAATTTGTGATATTTCCATGAGTACAAATGAACAGATGAACTACATAACAACACTTCAGTAATTTCCATTTCTGTTCACCCGAATATTATATAGAAATCAGTCACAAGTCAAAATTGTTACCAAAGCCACATGTAGTAGTTCATCAGTTTGGTTTAAAATCTGGGCTTTGTTAAGGCAGTTGAAATTCACCTGAAACATTCGCAAAATTCCAACGTAGTACACACATTTTTGAGATGAGCATTCATTATGAAAGGTCGGCCACGGTGCAATAAAATGAATGTAGCCATTACTAAATTAACTTACTGAAAACGATAACATAAGACCATTAATATCAGCTGCCAGCTGCTTCAAATTCTGTTTAACATGAAAAATATTGAGACAAAATAAAATTTAGTTAACACTTGCGAATATATATATATATATATATACATATCAAGCAGTTCAAGTTTTACTTATATTAAGTTGTGCCATTCAAGATGTGATAAAAAGCGGTTGAACTGGTCTGGTTTGAAAGACACATCGATAATCGACGACTGATATCACAAATGTTATTTTGTGCGGTACACCTTTATACAGTATCAGTTTTTGTGATGTTAGCTCGACAGCATTAGATTTCGAAGTGCTATTAATTTGCAAAATTACAAGATTTAGCTCGCAGGATGACTCTAAAGAGATTGTTTTATAGTTAATATATCTGATAATATGACCACATTTCAGGTAACCTCATTCATTATTAATGTTTCATGGTGGACTAGATATTGAATAACTATTCTCTGTGTGTATCAGAACTAGATAACAAATAAGTGCTAATCTTATCAGAATATGCAAGAACAACAGTGAGAAACAGATCGGGAAATCTGTCAACTGTCTTAGTTCACAACCGCATTGACTGAGTAACCTTTCCTATTTTATTTCTGTCTGGATATTTCTAGCAAGTTATTGATACTGACATTCAGGGCTAATGTTTATTGATTCCCTAGGCTGGTCAACAACTTATATCCTATTCACAAACCATGTACAGATGGCAAACATTATTATTCTTCGAATGTATATCACCTTTTGCACACTTGTCATATTGACATTTACACCTGAGTAAAATGTTTTAAAACTGGAATACTGAAAATTGTGCAATAATCAAGCTCAGCAAGCACAAAATACTCTTTTGAATGATCACTTACTTTCTTCTCAACTGCCCGAACACTTATTTGTCTTGATAAACAACACGTTTGAATTTCAATCGGTGATGCATTTCCTTGTGTACATGTTAATTTAGAATTTTCCTGTTTATCTGAGTAATCTCCACTCAAAGCTGAAATGTAAAAACGTCATTTAAGCATTATTTATTGTACAAAAGTAGACACATATTATGTATTCAAATTCATAACTGTTGTACTGGTTGGAATTGCACAACATGTATTTGTAGTTATTAGGACAAATTTCAGTGAGGTGAATTTCTCTTCATCATTTCCAATGCTCCACTCACTTAATATTTTATACTTGATTTATATTTCACAGATTATAACAGTGTTACACAAACAGTACCGTTGCACTGAAGCCCTGTGATCTAGAATGTATATATTATTCGAACTCATGTTAAATACATTTGAATTCCAGTCGACACATTCATTTACGGTTTTCAGCATCGATTCGTAAACTAATCAGAATAAAGATTTCCCGCTTGCACAGTAATCAACAGTATTTCAATTTAAAATGACAGGCTATGACACGAAATGTGTACATTTCATTCGGCCTTAAATTTGATTGACCAACCAAAGTTGAGTTTCAACGTATTACATAAGAATGACAAATTTGTACTAGTACTGTTTTACTTTCCGATAGGTAATTTAGGAAAATCACATTGATAGCAGCAGATGAATGGTTGTCGACTATATACTATCAAGTACTACATGTTTCAGTTTAGATAGATTTGGTAACTAAACCGAGTCAGCTGACAAACACAGGATAAACACAATTCAGTTAGTTATTTTTTAACGAAAAGCAGATAAGGAAATATCGGGATGTTCGTAATAAATTTAGAATACTTAGTTTTAATAATGATAAGTTTAAGCAAGATAAAATGCTGTAAACATCACCTTCAGATATGAGTTGCCGACCAATAAGCCAACCGAGAATTCCATATTTTTGAGATACTGAATATGTTCCACTCAGAAATGATGGGTGTAATAACGCAGCAGACAAATAAATTTCAGGGTATTTCACAACTCTAGGCTTATCTTGTTCGGTACTGAAGAATTTTGAATTAAAGTATTTGTAAATAGAAAACAAACGTTATTGACATGATAAAATCAATGACTGATCCAGTCATTGACTGTATTTTAAATGATAGACACCTAAGCAATGCCACAATAAAATAAGTGCTTACACTTATATATATATTTTTGTATACTCAAAACGATATGTTAGAGGGATGGAATTAAACATATCGACCTGTGTTTCTATCCTGTTTATGTTGTTGCAAGTTTGTCAGATAAATATACGTCGGTGTAAATGATGTGAAATGACATGAAAAACTAAGTTATGTGTGCTGTTATGTGACATCAAGTTAATCGTTCGTGTTGTGATTCCATTATATAATTTAATGGTGTTATACAGCGTTGAGTGTTTAACTTGTCTTATGTGCTTACATATGATCAAAGCGAAATTGAGCATTAACAGTTTTTATCCGATTGGCTACGCCAATATGGTAAGTTCCATATTTAGTGCATTGCAATGGATTAGTGACAATAGTCAGAGTAAAGCTTCCATTTTTGATTTCATGATAGCTTCTAAATGAGAAGAGGATATCATGAAAGATTCATTTTATTGCTGGTTTTGAAATTAATGTTTTGAATTTTACGGTAAGCTGTATTTGTCTTATAAGCACAAAGTTTATTCTTCACGGTTGACAGAAATGTTCAAAACAAGCAACAACTTACTACTCGCTTATCAATGAGATTCTACGCATTGATTGAAGGTAGTTTGTCTTTTGAGAATAGTAAACATTCATGAAGTAGTTAGTCCTAGGCATGTCATTCTGGAAAGGAAATGAAATAATTTTACAATGTATTTTCATGGTTATTAGTTTATTCAGTGATGGGAAATTAAAAGTAACTTTATCACACATATCTTCAAGCCCATTAATTTCTATTGTCACGGAAGAGGGAGTCAGACGGTTGTAATCTCATAGTGGATATACGAACAGACAGATATAAGTACCTTTATCAATTTTAACTGTGTCTGAATTTTTTAAACCATTTAATATAAATTTGTTTATTCAGAAAGGTGTTTCTGTCAAATTATCACTGCTCTGTTAAATCGATTTTAGTAATAGAATATTCTACAATCAGTATTATTAGTAAGAGAATTATTTAGTAACATCGATTGTTAACGTTGTGTGCAATCCTTATTTGACGAAACGCTATTTGATCTGATCTCAGATAAGCTTTCAAATCACAACAGTCCTTACACTTACTCAGACTTTTAATCTTCTGTAATTATTCTCTAACCCGTCTTATCAATTCATAATTGAAAATAAATACTGACCGACTCGCTAATATTGGCTTACTGAATCTTTCTTCAAATAGAATTAATCAGACAACACTCGAGTATATAGAAATCAGCAATTCATTATTTACAGACATGAGTATAAGTCAAACCACGGAACGATTCATTGTAAAACTAAATTCTGATATCCATGTATAATGGATCACGTCGTTAGGAAATTCAAATTATCGTTAGTTTTCCGAGTAATAAATAATATTTTACTTGCAAAACTTACTTCGGTCAATAATCCTCGGTTCTCTTTGGCTTTCTCATGGAATCTTTTTAAGTTATCTAATGAAAATTCAATGTTCGTAACCTAAATAATACATCGAGTTAATGCTTAGATAATTAGTCAAAATTAGACAAACCGATTCAAGAACTTTACGCTTGTCTTGTTTACTAAGCCATGACTTAGCTGACAATGACTGATCCAAAGTTTTCTTCAATTCACTAATCATCACATCAACCTATTCAAGATAAACAGAATATTTGATCACATAGACTATCGAAATGACATAAATCATAAATACTTGTTCGAATATTTTCACATAAATCTTCAGCTTAGAAAAGTCGAAACGGCATCCATTTCTATTTGGTTGCCAGAAATCAACACATCGCTGAATTATATAGACAATACATTCAAGCAGATGTGGGAACAGTAAAATTATAAAGCTCTACCCTTCATTATCCATTCATTTTATAAATCGAACGATTTTTCGCCTAAAAATCCATATACCATAGATGCTTTCAATGGTGTCGTGTAAAACAACTCATTGTAATGCTTAAACGCAATCTTTAAATTTGAAGCACTGTTTTATCAAAATATTCAACTCACTTTCTTTCCTGTTTCTTCATTTATAATAGGATATTCAAGATGTCGTTCAAAAATCCATCGGAAATTTTCTCTCACTTCGTCAATGCAACTTTGTGACGTTTTATCTGAATATATTGTTGATAAAAAAATAATTTTAAATAATAACTGAATGAAGTAATATATAGAGAAAAAGCATAATATTTTTGTTTGACCCAACATAATCATTTGCCTGGCTAGAAAAAGCCTTCAATTCATTATTCGACTACTGTTACATTTAGTGATCCTCAAATCGGTATGGCATTTGCATAACTATTTCAAATTAGTCACCTAATGTGTGTGTTGTGTTGAACTGCAATTTGGTTGTTGGACACATTAAGCATACACAAATGAGTGCAACTGTTGAAAGACTTATTAGGTCAAAAGTAGGAGATATTACTGACAAATATTCATCATGCATTTATAGTGAACAAATAACACCAAATAGTTAGTACTTTTTGCTACTCTACAATTCAACCAGTTTTTCGCCTTATTTATGTAGATTTGTTTCGTCAAATTATGGTCAACTGAATATCGTTTTTTGAAGTATCAATAATAAACAAAACTATTTTCATTGGAAATATGGTTACAACGCGTTCAATTCTCTTCGGTCAATTTTAAAACTTCAATTGAAAATCAAGTGATCAGTCTAGACAAAATCGAAAATTATTCACATCTCTGTGACTGAACAGTAGTACTTACGATTATCAACAGGATAAAACTCTTCGAAATGTTCATTCAAGCTGCTTCTCATGTTGTACAAAAAACTGATCACTAGCATACTGTGTACATCTCTATAACAGTGATTAGAAAAACCAATTGTTTGATCAATGTACAAAATGTTGTTCATAAATCTTATAAACTCATATATCTGTCACATGATCATAAACTGGAATATACAACACGATAAACAGCTCATCTACATAAATATCACTGTTTGTGATATTGATCCATTTACGTCTATATGAAATAGATTCACACAATGATCATTTGTAGTGTCTTTCATTATAATTCTACGTAACGACGATGATAATCACAGCCAGCTCATTCCTCCAATACAATTGATTCGTTCAGACTATCGGGTAAGAAACTGAGGAGAGGAACTGGTTCGGACATAGCAGAAAACTACGAATGTTCAGTTCAAATACAGATTTCCTTTGAACACAGCAGTGCGTTTCTACGACTGCATGCCGAATTAATTTACTACCAAGCAATAATTTCCAAAGTAATAATTCCATATTGTTAGATTTCACTTTCATTCTAAAATGAATCCTTCCTGTCATACAATCGAACCTCATATTTAACTGGTGTTTCTCGTCAATCATATCACACGTACGAATTAATTATTCTGCTTCATGAAATATATATATATCACTAAAATAAACTTTGCTGAAATTAAACACAAATCCATGTTTGAGATCCTACTGTTGTATGCATATCATACTTCAAAATACTTTCATTATCATGTTTATAAGCGAGATCAACTGGTAAGGCGTGTTGAAATATTATTTGTGAATATTTTTATATGAATAACAATCTCATCAACTGAAATTCAAATCAGCTTCAACTTTTCGTCCATTAATCTTGTTTCGACTACTAACGTTCATTAGAAAAAAACGAAACAATTCATATTATCAATGAATATATAAGGTAGAATCATCAAAACATGTCTACAGTAAGTGTTTGTTTTGTCATTTTTTAAGATGTAGACTTCAAAATGTAAGAGTGTATAGGTGAAATGAGACGTGAATCGTGTAAAAATTTTATAGGGTGAAAACTGAAAATGAAAATGAAAATGAATGGCATCTAGGTTTGTGTATAACTTTCTGTAAAGAATAATTGAGCTTAAAATATAAAACAACATGATATCTAGTAAAAATAATTCATGTCTAAAGGCATAAAACTAAATTTTTTTAGAATTACCTTTTCTCTTCCTCTCCATCTAAGGCTTCTTTAAACTTTTTACACCTATATTGCAAAGAATCTCGATCTTTGACAACAATGTCTATATCTGTTGTTGGAAAATATTGCATTTGATTGAGTACATATGGTAGAAGTCTACTCCAATCGATCTAGTCAAAGTAGATAATTTGAAATGGTATTTTACACAAAGTATAAGACATTTCATATTGGAAAAATTGACTTTTTTTCCATGATAACTGATATCATTCAGTTTATTTTGATCAACTGATCCAATTGTGTATGTTCTAGTTTGATATATATTTTTATCAGTATGTAGTATTCAATGCGAATACATAATTCCCACATTTTTGCTATCAAACTGTTTTAAATCGGAAAGGTTTCCATAACTTATTATTTTAAGTAAAAGCCTTTAATTTGATTTTGATACATTCACGCACATACAGGATAGTTCCATATTCAACATTACCATAAACAGCATATCCTGAATGAGATATAAATTAACAGTGCAATCTAATTGTGGTGCTAATTAATTCTATCCAGTATTATGCCTCACTTTACTCAAGCATTCAACTAACATAAGCTTTGAAAGTTTCAGTCAAAACATCTCCTTATTATACAACTGAATGTATTTCTGAATACCTTGTAAAGTTTATTGGCAGAACTATACTTTCATGGTAGCACTATAGATTCAATGCAAATTTGGTAATGTAGTAAGCTATGTTGTTAGAAAATAATTTAGAAACTCATCTCTCGAATTTGTATCATCAGTTTTCCTAACAAAAAAAAATGGCTGAATTCTTGACACTCTTTGAGATCACTTTACGGTGTAACATACTTTCAATACAACGTTCAATCTTTATGTCTGTAAATCATCTAAAATTTTCACATAATGAAAATATTATCAACATTACCAACCTGATTTGGTTTTCGTCGTTCTAATTATGGACACGCGCAAGCATTCAAATAGGTTTAGTCTGTTTTGAACTTCACCCTATAGCTGATTGATTAAGTAGCTTCAGGATTTTTATAACAGTTTCAGAG